TTTTGTAACTCTAGTAATCGTAATTTCATGTCAATGTAAAACGATAAAATATGACTCGCGGGTTCAATGAACGTTGTGGGATCAGTTGGTATACGGTGCTACTCATGTGACTACGGCTCGCGGGTACGAGTCTCCAATTTTGCAAAAAAATTTAAAACTTTGAGAACACATATCAAAACGACGTCGTTTCGATACGCACCGTAACGGAGTTGACTAACAGCCGTTAGAATGACTCCGATTTTTGCACGTTGTATCAAGTATAGGGTATGAGATTCAAATTTTATTAAAGTTTAGGTTGTAAAATACCCTACAAAATTGTTCAGGTATGAAAATCCACGGCGCATACAGTACGGGTATGAAAACGACATCGTTTTGATACACGTCAGCGTACACGTGTACATGACTCAGCACCGTAACGGAGTTGACTAACACCCGTTAGATTGACTATGATTTTTGCCTGTTGTATCAAGTATAGGTATGAGATTCAAATTTTATTGAAGTTTAGGTTGTAAAATACCCTACGAAATTGTCCAGGTATGAAAATCCACGGTGCAGATAATACGGGTATGAAAATCCCCTTTTCCCGCTTAGGATGTGATTAGTGGAGATAAGAGAAAGTGAGAGTAAATTAAAGGAATAATTGGATTGTATGCCCTAAATTTTATTAGAAATTTGAAATGTATACTATAATTTTTTAAAATTTGAGATGTATCTTATTCTTTTTCCAAAATGACATTTTCGTCCTTAATTAATAACTAAAAATTCAGAAAACGAAAATAAAATAAGGGAGACTCACAAAAAAATACCTTTTTCAATACCCCTTTTAAAAAATGCCCCATGTGGCTGTCGATTTTTAAAAATACCCCTTTTTATGTACAAAATGACTAAATTACCCTTCTTTTAATAAAAGATATCACAAATATATAAGAAAAACATGAGAATGTGCACACATCAAAATTACAAATTTGATTTTGTAAAAACTTGTAAAACCTTTAAAATACCTTGTAAAATTTTCCCGTAAAAATTTTTCCCGCCAAAATTTGTTTTTTTGCGGGAAAAGTGATTCCGCAATTTTTTTGGCGTTAAATTTTTGGCGGGAAAAATTTACAAGGTATTTTAAAGGTTTTTTACAGGGTATTTATAAGGTTTTACAATATATTTTAAAAGGTTTTACAACGTATTTATAAGGTATTTATCAAGATATTATAAGATTTTACAAGCTATTTTATAAGGTTTTACA